AAAAAAAAAAAAACCAAACCCACTGCCATCGAGTGGATTCTGGCTCACAGCAACCCCCACTGGCTTTCCAAGGCTATAAATCTTTATGGAAGTACTTTGCTTCATATTCCTGCTGCAGAGGAGAATGAAAGAATTTGGGGAAAGAATTGGGGGGACTGGGCCTTCGTAACGCTCTTCAGTCAACTTAAGTTGTGTTTCCCTTCAGCTTTTATTTAGCATCTCCATGATTTGACTGCTGGCAGAACTCCTTAGTGGGCCACACACAGGGTTGCAAGATTCTGCTGGAAATGACCCTCATGGGGTCTTCTTTTTTGCTAAAATAACTTGAATGGAAGGGCCCACCCTGGGCGTCTGATGTGGAGCTGCCAAAGCAGTGCACCCCTGAGTAAGGCAAGATGCCCCACACATGGCAGACTCTAGACATGCGTGCGTGCACACGTGCGCACACACATACACACGCACACTGAAAGCAGAAGACAACCCAAGTCCAAGAATCAGGCTCCAACAAGGGGCGATAACCATGAGATAAAGACAGACTACTTGTTCAGAAGCAGCTCTGACGTTTGGTCCATCAACTGGGACCAAGCACTGTAAACCAAAAAACAAACCAAACTCACTGCCATCGAGTCGATCCCGAGTCATAGCGACTCCCTTTGGGTTTCTGAGGCAGTGAATCTTGACAGAAGTAGATTGCCTGGTCTTTCTTCCACGGAGTGGCTCGTGGCTTTGAACCACCAACCTTCTGGTTAGCAGTCAAATGCCTTAGGCACTGCGCCACCAGAGCTCCTTCAAACTATAAACACACATTAAAAAAAAAAAAAAAAAAAAACCAAACTCATTGCCATCAAGTTAATTCTGACTCATAGTGAACCCCATTGGGTTTCCAAGGCAGTAAATCTTTACGGAAGTAGATTGCCCCATCTTCCTTCCGTGGAGTGGCTGGTGGGTTTGAACCACCAACTTTCTGGTTAGCAGTCAAATGTCTTAGGCACTGTCAGAGCTCCTTGTACACACACAGACTGAGCCAAATCAAAGGCCAAAGATGCTAAGAGCAGGGTGTCAAATGCTGTGCCCAGCCCTCTGCTTCTGGGGCTCTTGAATTTCAAAGACAAGGACCACCTGTGGCTGACAACCCACAAGACACAGGAACGGAGGACACCCAGGCCAGCTCAAACAGTAACTCAGCCAACCACGAACCAGGTGCCTGCAACGGCCACACAGGCCTCCAGGAGAAGGGCTAAGTTTCACTCAGGATGTTCAACCTCAAGCATCTGCAACATGCTCCCTGCTTCCTCCTAGGATGCTATTTAGGGCTTCATCTCCCACACGGTCACTTGGATCCTCCCTGAACCTCATCCGACCTCTCCCAGCCCCTATTCTGGTGGAAAGACTTCTGGAAAATGCCACAGTTGTGTGGCCTTCTTTTTGCTTGTGCTGAAACAAGCCCTTCCAAGTGTCCGCAGAGGCTCCCGAGTTCCAGTCCACCAGCCCCAGAACCCCTGTCCCCACCCAGTCATCCTTCCTAGATTTTCCTGCAGCCCCTCTAAGCATGCCTATTCCAGACTGCAGAAGCTTTTTTTTTTTTTTTTTTGGTTTTTCCTTCCCACACTTTTTAGTTGCAAAAGTTATAACACAAATACATGTGAAAAATGCAAACGGGGTACAGCACACAGAGCAAAACACAGGGGTCCTCTTTCACCCCTCCCCCCACAGAGGAAGCTGCTACAAACGGTTTCCTACAAACTTCTCTGAACATTTATATACCTAGATGGAGGTCAGATATTTTTTCATAAATGAGATCATATTATACATACATATTATTCTGCAACTTGAAAAGCTTGTTTTTTAGACTACTCATATGGAAGTGTGCAGAGGCCAGACTGCTGTGGGTGTTTGGAGAATAACCCTAACAGAAGCCTCCGGTAAATCTTTCCAAACAAAATGAGGGAAATAAAGTTGCATGCAAAGTTTTCCAGAAGCCCTTCATGTTTTTTTGCGTCCTGCTTTCTCCAACGATTAGATGCATGCCTTTTTCCAGCACAGACCATTCCTGCCCCCTTGCTCTGAGACATGGCCGGAATTCGTTTTGGTCGTCCTCTTAGAGGGTTGGTAACGATCAAGGAGAAAAAAGAACTAGGACATGTCTCTTGGCTTCCTCCTTAAAGACACACAGAGTGGTGCCCTAGAAAGCACAGAATTTGGAGAAAGAAGGCACACCGTGAGTCCCGACACTGCCCCTGAACTTGGGGGGGGGGCCTTTCTCTGAGACTGTTTCCTCAGTTAAAGGAACAATAATACAAAAGGAGCTTACCCAGATTTGGTTTAAGGATCGAAAGAGATGGAGGGTAAAAAAATGCAGGGTATGTAATCTAGAGGGCTATTATAACCTGTGAGTTGCAATCGATATTAAATGAGGAAAGCCTAAGAAGTAAGTTCCGCAAATGAGACATCTGGCCACTTTGACTTGAGAGTTTAGAGTTTTCTGAGAGAATTTCAAGCGAGAGTAAGAAGCCGGCGTCCCGGCGGTGGGCAGGGCGCCACCTGCTGGCGGAGGTAGGTCGCGGCACCGCGGGCTCGTTGCGCTCCTCCGACCCCGCGGCGGATCCATCGCCAGTGGCTGCTGGGGAGACGCAACGGCAGCTGCTCCGCAGCCCCAGCCCCGAAGATGAAATGGAATGGCCTCTCCAGTGCCTCCTGGGGGCCGGCAGGAGAGTCCGGAAACCCGGACACCCGGCCTTGGCGACCCCTGGGACCTGGCTCCCCAACACAAAGCCGCGGCGGAGCAGGTGAGCGCGGCGAGGCCACGTGAGTCGCTAAAGGTCCCGGGGCTGAGCCAGCCAGCTGCGGTCGCCCCCTGGCGCGCGCCCCCGGCACCAGGTCTGAGCCACCTCAGCTCGGAGCCCGCCGTCCAAGAGGCGAAGGGTGGGAAAGCAAGAAGGGGGGGGGTGGGCGCGGCCAGAGACCACCGAAGCCCGGGCACCGTCACCCCCGCGGTCCGCGGCCCCCGCCGCCCCCCGGCTGCCGTTCCCACCGCCCCTCGTCCCCATCCCCGCCGCCCCGCGCCCCCAGCCCCCACCGCCCGCGGGCCCTCGCCCCTGTCCCCGCCGCCCCCTACCGCTACTCACCGGCGGCTCGCGTAGCTGCTGCCGGGGGAGCCTGCGCCCGGCTCGGGGTAGCCGTGCTGCTGCAGGGCTGCGGCCGGGAAGGGATAGAGGAAGCCGGTGGCAAGCGCCGAGCCGCAGAGGCAGCAGCACGCCCAGGGCAAGAGGAGAGCCAGCTTCATCGCGCGCGGCCGCCCGCGGGGACCCCGCGGCTCCGGCCCGGAACCGAGAGAGCGAGCCAGCGAGCAGCGGAGCCCGGGTCCGAGCTGGCTGTGCGCGCGGCGCCCACGCCTCTCCAGGACCGCCTTTTCAAATTCGGCGAGGTGGGCTCTGCGCCGTCAAAGGGGGCGTGGGACTTTCTCATTAACCCTCGGCGGTCTGGGGCGCAGGAGGCAGCTGTCGCAGTGGCGCTGAGCGGCGGTGCGCGCTCCCCGGGGGGTCCTTGGGCCCTGGAACCCCACTCCCACTCAAGGGCATCTTTCCATCCCGACCTCCGTCTGTCCCGCCAACGCGTGTCGATTTCACCCGGGCAAAACTGTTTCATCCCAACACTCGGCGCTCTAGATGAGGTTGTCGTTACTTGCGGCCAAGTCCTGGTGACCTTACCCACGGTCGATTCTGACTCACAGCGGCCCTATGGGACTGGGCATAACTGCCCCAAAGGCTTTCTAAGGCTGTAAATCCTTACGGAAGCAGACTGCCACATATTTCTGCGCAGCAGCCGATGGTTTTCCAACTGCCAACCTTTTGGTTTGAGGCCGAGCGCTTTAACCACTGCGCCAATGGCGACCTTGTGTGTAATAGAATGAGCCGTTGTCCAGTCCTCTCCCATGTTTCAGAGGTGGGAATTAAGGTTTAAAAACTTGAAGGCAGAAAAATAGGGCTCTTTGAACCAAATTGCTGAACAGGGCTTCTTGCAATCACCTCCTTCCCCTTTGAGCTCCACCCCCTACCCTGCCTTCTGTCTCCGAGGGAAGAGGGGAAACATCTAGATAAGGTGTCCCATCTGGAAAGGGCCTTGGGGTAGAGGTCACACACTCTACAGGTGAGGAGCTGAGTGCCAGCTCAAACAGCAAGCCCACTCCCAGCCAAGCCCAAGGGATCTTGTCTGTGCAGCTTGTCCTCTTCCAAGCGACCCGTGGGGCCTGCCCCAGCCTGTGTTCTGTTCCCAAGATGGGGAGCCTTTTTCTAATCCTCCCAAAGGCCTCCTAAGGGTTGGCAGAGGCCCCTGCAACAGCCAGAAGCTCCTACCCTGTAAACTGCCTATGAGACTGAGAGAAACAGATACCGTGGTGCTTTGTACACTGGTAGCATAGTGGTTAAAGCATTTGGTTGCTAACCAGAGTGTCAGTGGTTCGAACCCAGCTACACCCCAGGAGGAAGATGAGGCAGCCTACTTCTGTAAAGATTTACAGCCTTGGAAACCCTATCAGGCAGTTCTACTCTGTCCTAAAGGGTTGTTAAGAGTTGGAATCAAGTCAGTGGCAGTGGGTTTGGGTTTGATAGACACCCTTTGGAAAGGCCTGGTGGCATTGTTGTTCCAGGGTGATGCTATTGAAAGTGGGGTGTGAAAGGCCCACTAAGGAGGCTTTGTCCATATCCCAGGATACCGTATCCAGCCCTCTCCATCCTCCCCTAGTCCATTCAATTGTGTCTCCTCCTGGCCTGAGTCTTCCTGACAGAGCTTCCACAATTCCCAAGCTTCAAGACCTGGCTCACCGTCAGTCCTGAGTCTAAGTCTAGAACTCACAGTGGAAAGCCTCTGATGGGAAATGTAACTCGGCCTTGGACACTTCCTCTCATCTGCATCCTTCCCTCAAGGTCTAAAAGACTTGGAGAATTTGGGTTATCAGGGAATTTTCAGGGCCTCCCCAAAAGGAATCTGAACTGTGTTCCTTGGGCAGCTGGCCAAAAGAAATGGGTGGGTCATCCCCCGCCCCAGGAATTTGTGAGCATTCTGAGGTCCATCTTTCCCTCCTTCACTTGCATAATGAGATCTTAAAGACCAGAGAAGTGTCACATTGCTGTCAATTGGCTTTACGGAAGTAAGATTGCCCGAGGAGTGGCTGGTGGTTCAAAACCATCTGGTTAGCAGGCAAGTGTCTTAGCCACTATGCTACCAGAGCTCCTGGCTTTATGCTGTGGGCTTTCCAGCAGGAGAACTGGGATCTCTTTTTTTTTTTATCTTAAACTCCTTTTCCCAGTGCCATGGGCTGCACCCAAGGAAGGGCTGATGCTACTCAATATACCACCGGTTTATTTTTGGGTGAAAAACTTCAGGAAAATGAATACATCCCATAAACCAGGAAGGCGGTGGTTGTCTGAGCTGGGTCCTTTTCTCCATGCTAGGATAGTCAGTTCATTCAAGTCCATGAATTGACCAGGCAACCTCTCTGTGTCCAGCGCTGTGCTGGCTGCAAGCAAAGCTATTGCAGAAGCAAATGACATGGTTTTTGCCCTCAAAGCATTCACATGGGCCTTTGGGAAGGCGTTAAAATAGCCTTTTTTCCTTCAAAAGATAGCATGCAGGCTGACAAATGTTCTCCACACCAGAGGAAGTTCCATTTGGAGAGTGAAGATAACATAAAGTCAATAGAGAAATGTGGATTCACCCCCACCTCCCACACCCAGACACCCCTGCTCTGCTTCTGCTCCCCCACTGACTTGCCAAGTGACCGGAAGTAAACCCCTCGCCTCCGGTCCTCCCCAGCATCCTGGTCATTGTGCAGTGCGAGGGTGGGCTGGCTTGTCTCGTGAGGCCTTTCCAGTTCTGCCCTTCAGTCATTCACTCTCCCTTCATCCTCCACGCCCACCTCAAGGCAGCCGGGGATTCGCCCAACTGTTCAAAGCTGCCACTTCTATGTTTTCAGCTGCAGTAACACCCAGCAGGCCCTGGGAGCCGAGAGGAATGAGGAAGGATGGTGTGGCATCCCTCAGAGAACCCCAGTTAGTGGAGTCCAGCTCCCAAGTGTGCTAGGGGTGTGACCTTAGATGAGTCATGTAACCTGAGTATCTTCATCTATAAAATCGGAGCAATAATAATAGTAGTACTTAACTTATGGATTTGCTGAAAGACCAACAAGTTGACTCTGACTTCTGGCGACCCACGTGCATCAGAGAATAACGGTGCTCCATGGGGTTTTCAATGGCTGATTTTTCCATGGGTTGCCAGGCCTTTCTTCTGAGGCGCCTGAGTGAACCTGAACTTTCAACCTTTCTCCATGAAGCTCATTAACCATTTGCCCCACTCCAAAACCAAAGCCAAACTCAGTGCCATCAAGTCAATTCCAACTCATAGGGACACCCATTGGGTTTCCAACGCTGTAAATGTTTACAGAAGCAGACTGCCTCATCTTTCTTCCACGGAGTGTCTGGTGGGTTCAAACCCCCAATCATCTGGTTAGCAGCCAAATGCCTTAACCACTACACCTCCTTATTTACACCACTCAGGGGCTTCTAAGTGAATTATAAGCATCAAGTGCTTGGAAAAGGGTATGGACACATTCTAACGCTTAATAAATGTCAATTATTATTATCTGCAGAGTCTGGTGAGGACAAAATCGAGGGAAACCACACTTCTCAAAGCCCCAGGGAGGAACCGGCCAGTAGGCTTTACACTCAGGAGTAAAGCTGCTTCAGGGGTTCTAGAAGCCATGGGCTTAGCCTGGCACACCTTCCTGGGACAGTAATTTTACTCCATGGCAAATGATTTCAAATAAAACTTTATTTTAAAACACACATGGGGATATTTTTGAGAAGAATGTGCAATCAGTATCATCTTTAAAGATAAAAATACACTTGAAATGGTGGCAGAAGCGGAAACATTTGAGGGGCCCCGAAATAAAGGACGTGCAGATGCTCTCAGAAGTCCTGACGCGTTTTCAACATTGGCTGCTGTTGCTGCTGCAGGTACCACCTCCCCATCCATCCACCCACCCCTCCCTCCACGCCCAGCACCCCAGTAGCTCCCATCAGACTGCACCATGGCTATCACCCACCTCCCCACACAAGTGCTTGTCTCTGTAGTTCAGAACTGCGCCCTCAGCAACCCCCCAATGCGTATTAAAACCCCTCTGCCCAAAGAGACCAAGAAATCTAGTGGGAAAGGTTGACAGCTGAGACCCAGCCTTCAGCTCTAGCTCCTTCCTCCTCACATCCTTGGTGATCTTTGGCAAACACATGACAGTCCCACCCCCACTCCCACCCACCCCCACCCCCCAACCTCGCTAAAATGGAAACAGGGCAATTAAGGGTTCAAGGGGCTTCTGTGTTTACAAAGGGCTTAGGGCCACCTTGGAAACCCAAGGAGGGGTCGCTATGAGTCAGTCCGACTTGACGGCAAACAGCAACCATGTTTACAAAGGGTTTAACCTTACGTAAAACCTTACGGCTTTAACCTCTCAGGGCAATCCTCTGTGGTACCCAGGGCAGAAGTTCTCCTAATCCCCACTCTATAGGCAAAGACAGGCGCTCTGGTGGCATGGTGCCTAAGGCACTTGACTGCTAACCAGAAGGCTGGCAGTTCAAACCCACCAGCCACTTTTCGGAAGGAAGATGGAGCAATCTACTTCCGTAGTGATACTGCCTCGGAAACCCAAGGAGTGGTCGCTATGAGCCGGGTCCGACTCAACGGCACATAACACACATAACAACAACAACATAGGCAAGGACGCAAGGGAGGGCGACACTCATCCAGATGCCTGTGCTGTCCTCAGTCTGTCTGTGTGAACACAACTCAGACAGAGTTGTTTTGTACAAAGAGGGACCCGATCTATGGGTGAAAGAAGACAAAGCCGGTCACACTAGTGAAGCGGGCTGCACGGCAGTGATGTTTGTAGGCCTTTGTGGTAAGGAAGTATCAGTCAGCCTCCTCTTCAGAAGAGAAAAAGCAGACCCTCACTTCTGCTGAAGTCAGCACGGAGAGCCACTGAGCAGAGAATACTCATCAAGTTGGAGCCAAGGTAAATATTGACCTTCTGGCATGATAAACTTCCTGATAATCTAAACCAGAAATCTGCCCCCAGCTCGTCCTATAGGACGCGAATTGTTCATCTCACCCAGTTCAGGAAGGCGGTGGCAGTTGCTGAGGAGTTTTCATACTGATTTCTTTAGCAACCCGTGTTCCCAGCTGTTCTGAATCCCAAGACATCTCAGAAGTGGGCTGGAGTCAAGTCAAGGTAGC